GTGGGGAAGAGAGGCGTAGACATACGGACACATTTTGCATTTGATGTCAAGGAAAATAAGAGGCTTTGTAAACACTACATATTTAAGTAAACTGAATCAACTTTAGATTTAGTCAACAATAATCTTGTGATACTAAATCAACTAAAACTTAAAGAATTTAAAAACCAACGTCAGCCATTACCCTAAACTAAACTAAAATGTTCAAAACCTCTCAGTGCATCAAAATGAGAGCATATTTCTCCCGTTCTATCGCTGCATTCTCTTCATAGGCTCTCTGTTACTGTAAATCCAGAATTGAATTTAAAATCCTTCTCAATGCATACTAGGTCTGGAATAATCGTGCCCCATCTTATCTTAAAGACCTAATATTATCATATTGATCAAATAAAGCACTTCACTCTCAGACTGCGGCCTTACTTGTTGTTCCTAGAATATTTAAAAGTTGAATGGGAGGCAGAGCCTTCAGCTTTCAGGCTGTCTGTGGAATCAGACAGCTTTGCCTTAGGGTTTCTTCTGTTAAAAGGGAGTCTTTCCTTTCCACCATCTCCAAGTGCTTGCTCATATGGGGTCATCTGATTGTTGGCGTTCTCGAAGCACACACACACACACACACACATTCTCATTTTTATATCTTAGTGAGGTTATGTAATTGACATAATGCTTATCCTAACCATCAAAAATGAAGGATTAACCCTAACCCTTAGCCTAAACCATAACCTAACTGTAACCCTGACACTAAAACCACATTTTGACTTTCAAAAGTGCCTTCAAACTCACGAGGACAGGCACCTTTGTCCTCAAAGTGACCTTTGGTCCCCACAAGTATAGTAAAATTCCAGTTTTTGGTCCCCACAAAGATTTCTAAAGCGGTATACACACACACATATATATCCACGCACACACAAAGTGCTGCCCTGCCTAATTGTAACCGTTTGTAGAGTTTCCAGTGTACAGAATGAAAGGACCACCGTCTTCCAGTCATGTTCTTCCATCCATACCTGTCACAACACTTCCTGCCAGGGGTCAGATAACCTATGGAAACCTAGCAGTTGGCGAGGAAGGTGGTCTCCTCTCTCAACCACACGTTCAGTGAGCAGCCATGATGCACGCAGTCCCAACCGATCTTTCAGCAGCAACTCTCTGACACTCAGCTAAATCATCTCAGATAAACTTGCACACAAACACACAAAGATGTACAGAGCCACACCCGTACTGAGAAAACTTCCAAGCAGCGAGATAAGCCATAGCATGTCACATGCAAATTAAAAGCAAAAGCTGCCTTAAACCAAAAATAACTGTGTGTTTTTATGATGCTGGGTTGTTTATGACCAAAGAGGGAAACCAAGCCCATTGACAAACACTGCCACTGGTCACGAACTCTGACTTAATGACAGTAAACTTGCCACTGTGTAGGGGAGGGGGACAGGGCACTGGGCTTCTGTTCCTGCACAGAGGCCAGTAGTTATTAGAATATTTTACAGTGACATTAAGACAAATAAAACATTTTCTTGCATAGTGTTGATGCAGTTTTGCAGTAAATCATAGTATGTATGAGTATAAATGTTTGAGAACATCTCACATGTCCTCAACTGGAAGAATCAGAATCAGAATCAGAAAGGGTTTTATTGCCAAATGTTGAGCAGGTTTACAACATTAGGAAATTGCTGCAGTGCTTCAGTGCAAACATACTGTCATAAATTACGCTTAAATAGACATGAAAAAATAAAAATAAGAATAAGAATTAAAGTGCTACGTAGAAAGATATATATATGAGTGCAGGTGGTGATCAGTGCCAAACATGGAATGATGCAGTGAACACAGCGTAGGGTCATGTGTTAGTGGTGGGAACAGTCATACGGAAGCTTCATTGACATGAGATTAATGCATATTGCTGCAAATAAAATAAATAAAGCCTGAAGAAAGCTGTAGTAGGTGCAGGGGGTAACTCTTTTGCAAAAACAGTGTTTTCTGTTTAAGAATGATAGCCATTCATGGCTTTGACTTAGCATGGAACACACTGTAGTTTTACTAAATGTTCATTAGCCTGAGCTAATTTTGGCAGAACATTTAAAGTGGATATTTAAAGTGAAAGGAAAGAAAAGCAAGATCAAACTAATTGTGCTACAAAGATTTTATTAGAGTTACCACACGCTGACTGTCCGACTATAAATTTTCAAATTTAATGTCAGATGTCATGCAAATGAAAACAGGGCAGTTTTGGTTTGTTTTTTGGAGGAGCTGAACCATTCAGTTCCATTCAGATTTGTAGAGAAGAAGCAAGTAAGGGTTTGCATGTCTGTAATCAGCATCACTGGGAGATAAACATCCTCTTACATCAGCTTCAGTGTGTGTGTTTAAGAGAGAGAGATGAGTTACAGTAGAGTTATGTTTTGGGTCTCTACATTGGGTGCTGACAGGGAGGTTAGGCCATTTTTCAAGAGTTTGTCCAATTACAATTACTCCTAGACACAAAAAGACAGGAACTTTATTAGATTTAACCTTTTACAACATTATCTGTCATTTTGGTGTACTCTGAAGTTATAATGATATGATGATAAGTTCCATCCATCCATCCAGCAAGAGGCAGGGTACAGCCTGGAGAGGTCAGTCTGTCAAAGGGCTAACACAGTCACACTCACATTCACACCTATGGGCAATTTAGAATCACCAATTAGCTCTGCCTCCCATTCAACTTTTTGGTTGTTTTTGGAACGTGTGAGGAAGCCAGACCACCTGGATGGAACCCACTCAGACACGGGGAGAGCATGCAAAGTCCACACAGAAAGGGCCCAGTCACATGGTGGATTTGAACCTTCTTGCCGAGAGACCAGAGTGCTAACCACTGCACAAATGTTACTCGCCATTCCTCCAGTAGGGCAAGAAAATATCAGAAATGCCTGTTTCACTGAAAAAGTTATTATGTTCATTTTAATGACAGTATCATCTTATGACAAAGATACAATACTCCGTCTGTTAGACAGTTTAACAAGTTTATGTTCCTAGAAAGTGCTGACAAAGACCGTTCCATTTAATATGTTCATACATTCTTATAGCTATTTTAGAAAAGGTCCAGATGAAAACTGAATGTTTTGTGGTGCTGCTACTTTCATATTTCACATTACAGTTTTTAAAGCAGACTTTTCTGTTCAGGTTTAAGCACACATCAAGCCATTAAATTCCACGTCAAAGATACAGTTTTAGAAGTCTGAGTGGGCTGTGGTATTGGGTTGCATATGCAGATAAGACCCGAAGGAATTCTTGACCTGCCTCTTGATTCTCCATTCAGAAAGTGCCCTCTGAGAATGTTTTCATTCATGCTTTTTCAACCCCAATCTCTGGTCAGCCTTCATCTTTACTTAATGTCTCATAAGGTAATCGTCAAAGAATGGATGTGTGTATGTGGGGGGCACATTTCTTTTTTAAAGGGGACAATAAAAGGTACATGAAAAGTCATGAAAGTGTTGTGATAGTATTGCAATAAATAGCTTAACTTTCAATATTTATTTGTAGTTATAAATATAGACACACTGTATTTCAATGCTGCACAGCAAAAGAACAGCAGGGTCACTTAATTGAATTCATTAAAACTGTTGTTCTAATGTACTGTGAGCAGTTTCGAAGGATTAAATCAACAACTTTAGCAGCTGCTCAGATGGTGTGGATGTCTAAATAAATATAATTCAGCGCCCAAACACAACCTGTGATGTTTTCTTTAGGTCCCTAATGACAAGGAAGGAAAAGATGAAGAGTGGTGATAAAGTCCGGCTGGGCTTAACTGAACCTATAAGTGTCTCTCACAAGAAAAGATTTATGAAGGTTCATTTTTTAAGAAGATTTTGTTGCAGTATGTTTTTTCCAGGTTATGAGAAATAAACTAAATGATATAAACCCGAAATCTTGTGATTCCATATAAAATCCTGGGCTAGATGTTTTCGACTGAAAAGCTGTCTGCTGTAAATTCCCTTTCTACACTGTCAGCGTGCAAATATTAACATTTTTCCCAAGTACAATATTGTAAAGTCGTTTTCGAGTAAATAACTGTATATTACATTGCGTCATGGGAATTATCCAAATCAAATTCGTTTTACTGGACCTATATTTTAAGCAAAAATTGGGGGGGGGGGATGTCTTTTTGGCTCATTTCTTTGTAATTTCTTTGTAATTTCAGTCAACAATTTGTAATTTTTCACTGACTGATATTGATATCTAAAGTTTTGAGGCCTTAAAGCTCACGATTCATCAATATCAATATAAGTATTTTTGTTCTTAATTTAACACTAACGATTTAAACCAATCTACCCGAAATGGAGTTCTTGCTACAGCGGGCGGTCTCAGACTAACGCAGTGGGAGGTGCGCCGGTCTTTCTCTGTCGGTTTTTTTTTTTTTTTTTTTTTTGCAACAAGTGGTAAGAAGAGAAACAAACCTCTGACCGTCACAATAAAGCAGGCGAGTCGGCAGAAGCGCGGTGGACTAATAAAACAAGGAGGGTAAAACAGCGAACCGCTGCTGCTGTGAACATCTGGCTGAACGGGGATGCTTCATGAAAATGTTTAACTGTGTGTCCAACAGCGTGGTGAGTACAAATCTATCATTAAGTCACATTCTGTAAATTAATCACAGGTAAAACTAACTTCGTACGAGCTTATAGTTATTTATTATTTTCATCATCATCATCATCATAATTATTATTATTATTATTATTATTATGTTTATTTCGGAAAATTAGTTACATAATATTTTCACTCAGACTCGTTACATTTCAGCTGCCCTGTATCCCAGTGCTCATTTACAACGAACAATTGACGAATGTGGGCCAGCGACCTAAATTAGCTTAGTGAACTTTTAAGATACCCCAAATATAATGCAATATTTGAAGTTAGAGGGTTCAGCGAGCTTTTTGTTTTCGATAAAGTCAGGTACAGGCTTCTAAAAAAGTGACACATTTTCTTCAATTTGCATAAGTTCCGCATCACAGTACATAAATAAAATAAAATAAAACAAAATATAAATATTTATTCATGCAGACGTTAGCAATATAAATACAAAATAAAGACGGGCACCTCCACGTTTCATATTTTCGTAGCCTACGCCATGTAGCTACACTTTCAAAAATGTAATAGAAAGGGGGGGAAGCCTGATTTGTGACCTGACTCTGGAAGACTGTAGCCAAGTGCAGACTGTAGCGTGACAAGCATACAGTGGTCTTTAGCCTGTGCACGTGCGTTACTAAACACACAATTAGTCAGAATTAAATTCAGCTGTGCGCGAGGCCGCTCTACATGCGGTCCCACGAGCTGCTAATTGAACATATACGTCCTCTTTTCCCCACAATGCTAATAGAATATTTTAAGTCATGTGTGGGTTCCGTAATAAAAATAATATTTAGCTAGACACCATGACTGGACCCATGTCTACTTAAATAAAATAAATGCACACTCATACCTATAGAAAGCGAAGGCTAATCTCGATGGTTGTCATATGAGGACGACATAACTTTTACTAGTCAGGCTAGTGCGTCACTCCAGACTTATGGCTGACACCATGTCAGAAGAAGAAACGCCATCGACGGAGGTTGTTTTCACTCAGCTACAACAAGGACATATTTATAGCGACACAGTAGGTGTTTCACTTCCAAATTAACTGCGTTTTCTTTTTCCCGTGGGGATAACAGCTTGAGACAGACACAGAAATTGCAAGGAGCACGCGTGAGTGTACGCATTTGAGTAGCAAATGTACATAAAACAAACGCAATTAATTTTTAAATTGACTTTTGCTCCTAAATTTCGTGACACATTTGAGGATATTTTTAAAAGTGTAAAGTTCTTTTTTTGCTGTCCCTTTTTAATCATTTTGATTTATATTTATTTTTTTACTCTGGGGACTGTTATTTCTAATAGGGCTCCTCTGGTCCCGATGATATTTTTGATGAGGACTCTTACTCTCCGTCCTCCCTCTCCTCGTCCTCTTCGTCTGCGGTCCCCACCGAGGTCTGTGTGCAGGGGAAACCGGTGTGCACCTCCTGCGGCCTGGAGATAGTGGACAGATACCTCCTGAAGGTCAAACTAACATACTGTGTCTGGCCAAAATATCACTGACAACACTTCCAAACTAGGCCAGTTTTAATACAAAGCAGTCCAGTTATCATTCTAAGAAAAAGGGGGGGGGAGTAGTTCAGATATTTTCAGCACTTGTCAGCTTTCTTTTAATAGAGTTGTACAGCAAAGTTGCCTTTCTTTATAGCTAAATGTGGATTTGATTGTCCTACAAGAGGAATTAAATCATTTTGAGGGTTTATTAATTTTGAAAACCGATATAAATATATGAGCTAGCCTAAGCAGAACAAGTATTTCTGCAATTTTACACAGCACATTAATGCTTCGTACTAATCTTCACCCTCAGAAAATAAAGTATTTCATTTTGCCCGTAGGTTTATGATCGCCTTGTCATTGGGGTCACAGTTCTTAAGGTACAGCTGTTGAACCCTTGGCATGGGGTCCTCTTTGTGCTTTAGAGGGCAGTGCTGATACATTGACTTTTTTTTTATTTTTATATTTGTGTTTGTAAAATTAAGATGCATAAATCTCATTGTATCTGTACTGTCCTTTAAAGTACTCCAAGGAATTCTATTAACACTAACTTCTAACACTAGGAACATAATTATTCTGCTTTTTAAAAAAAAAAAAAAAAAAAAACTTTGTAGAAAATTAGTTAAAGAAAAATAAATAAATAAAATGTTTTAAACACTTCTGTGCCTATAAGGACAGAATGGATGAGTGTGCAGTCAAAATTCATTTGGCTCATTAAAGCTTTTCTGTCTCTGGATGTACATTTGGTATTATTTTGGAATTGGAATCACACCACAAAAGGCTTATTAATTATCAAATGAGAACAATAATATCTCATTGCATTCAAAAAAATAAAAGCATTACCAATAATTCCAGGAGCCTCTATGGTCTTCAGTAATGATGATAGAATATACTTTGGAAGGGTATTTAAATAATTCTAAACTCTGTCAAAATTTGAAATCCTAGGTCAATAATCTGTGCTGGCACGTGCGCTGCCTCTCATGCAGTGTGTGTAAGACTTCACTGGGCCGACACGTGAGCTGTTACATCAGAGACAAAGAGGTTTTCTGCAAACTCGACTACTTCAGGTACATCACACACGCACACCACCTGTGTCCTGGGACTCAAGAATAGTTTAACATTATCGGTATATGATTTTTTTTTTTTCTGTCAAGCAGTGAAAGGACACACAGGTTTGCTATTCAAAATGTAGTAATAATAATAATAATAATAATGGATTGCATTTATATAGCGCTTTTTGGGGCCCTCAAAGCACTTTACAATTAAAAAAATGTAGCTTTCACTTCACCCCAAAAGATCATAAAGATTTTATCCAAAACATGAAGGAATGGAAAATGAGCTTAAACAAAACAATTTGGCTAGAAGAACAAGAACACTATAACAAACTGACCTAACCAGATGCTTATCCTAACAGAGGAAACCATTCCGAATGCAAAGAGGTGGGGACTATGCCCCCAGGTAATTTTTTAATGTAATTTAATGTAAGATTTTGTTGCATATATATTCATATTTTTATAGTACACATCTAGTCTTTAAGTAATGATATCAAAGAGCAGAAAACTATCTGATCTGTGTGTTACGTGCATGAATTAATTTTAGTCAGAATCGACTGACTGGTGAAAATATTTAACACCTCGCAATTGGGCTGCCTTTTGCTTTCAGTTGTTTAGAAACTTCCTGTCATTTCCATCCTGTTTAAATTTTGACTAATAGTTAATATTTGGCAGAGGGAGACTATTCCAACTGACTAAAACATGACTCTTAAGGAAGTCCGAATAACGTATGACACATCAACTTCTCTTGTTAGGGGATAAGAAGGGCAAGCTGCTGCAGCTTATCCCCAAATGCATCACTGGAGAAGAATATGTTTGTTTCAAATGGATTGTCTGGTTATATTCATCACACCTGCGATCAGGTACACATGCACTTTGATCTCAGATGATGATTGATATCAGCCCTCATGCAGGGTCAGGGCCGGGCTGGTACACATACTGGGGCGTGTAGGCAATGTAGGTACAGTGAACTGACAAGAAAGGCTAAAAATGTCAATGGATTATGCCTTAGACATTATAATCGGTAACAAAATCTTGTTTGGGTGAGGGTTTTCGTTTTCTTTTTTGTTTTTATTTTAAGTACAGGAAAAAATGTAAATGATTTTTTTTTTTTTTTTAAATGGGGTATCAAGGATGGACTGAAAACCTGAAGAAAGTCTTTCATAGATAAATACAGATTTTTTTTTCTTCTTTTTTTCCCTCTGTTCCAGGCGGTATGGGACTCGCTGTGCCCGTTGTGGGCGTAACATCCATTCTAGTGACTGGGTGCGTCGGGCGAGAGGTAGCACCTTCCACCTGGCTTGTTTCTCCTGCACCTCGTGTAAACGCCAGCTTTCTACAGGGGAAGAATGCGGACTTCTGGAGAATCGAATCTTCTGCCGGCCACACTATGATATTATGATGGAGAATCTCAAACGAGCCAAGGAAAACAGTGAGTGTATGGATGGACAAGGGTCCGATCTGAATTACAGCAAACAGTAAAATGATTGTGAAACGAATATTACACCCCCCCCCCCCCCCAAAAAAAAAAAAAAAAAAATTCAACTTTGAATTTTAAAGTTAAGTAAAAGACGAGCAAATGTCATATACAGACCACATGCTCATCTTACTGAGGTATGTCATTTCTGCTGCCATGTAAACTATTTTTTTGGAAGTCTTTCCAAAAAAACCTATGGTTAGAATACTCCAGACATTACAGTTCAATGCCATATTTGCTTGCATTGGCATTTTAGTTTCACTCAAACATCAAATACTTGAATAAATGTCTCAAGGATAGAAATGAAAATATTAGAAGTTCTTAGTAACACCCACTTTGAAAATATATCTGTACTGCTAACACGAATGCTTCTGCCTGTCACAATATCACACCGAACCTTAAACTCTGCAGTGAGACAGCTGAATCCTCCTGTTACCACTCTGTCACACATACTGAAGAATATAGCCTGACCCTGTACAAAAAGACACCTTTCTAACACATGGGTCTTCTAGATGGAACTCGTGTTCCGGTGATGTCCGCAGGGCATCTGATCTGAAATGGGACCAGTCATTTAAAATGTCCTTTAATCCTGTTTTTCTTAAAGAACAACCAAAAAATGAAGAGATGGCAGACAAAGATGACCTTAGCATTTTGCCCAAGCCAGCTAAGAGGGCCAGGACCAGCTTCACTGTGGACCAGTTACAGGTGTTGTCCACTTTTTTTTTTCTTCTTTTTTTCCTGCGTGCTAACTCCTGCATTGCCATTAGACCATTTACACTTAAAAGTGTCACAACAAGTACAACCACTAGCATGGATGACTAAAATAATAGCACTTTGTCTTTTTTCATGTCTACATTTTTAATATCCAGTGAATACTTTGTTCTTCTGTGAGAGAACACTGTTAAATTACTGTTTTAATATTAAAGTGATGGCTGTGTATGATTGTATGGTGACTAGTGAATGTTACTGGGGCTCTGTTTGCTGAGTGTGTTCAGAGGAAAGAACAATATAAGCCAGATATTTGTTCAGTTTATTTTGACGATTTTCTGCCCTCTAGTGGCATTTGAACACCATAGCACTCTGCTACCATGGTCTGTTAAAATAACAGTGAAACTCATCTTAGATTTCAGTGATGTAAACATTTACTCATCTGTCATCTCCACTTGTTTAGGTGATGCAGACCCAGTTTGCTAAAGATAACAACCCAGATGCACAGACGCTGCAGAAGCTGGCAGAGAGAACTGGACTCAGCCGCAGGGTTATTCAGGTAAAACAGACCTGAATGACAATACTAAACGACTGCAGGGAGGTCCTGCAATAAAGTGTCACAGGATTAAGTGAGCAAATTTAGCAGTCCCTTTGAAATAATCCATGCTTAGTTGGTTGGAGTGAACAAATTTTGGGTCATAATTAAACTCTGTGGGTGGCAATTTTTGTAAGAATTTTAAAGTTTGCAGTAACTGTCAGATTTCTTCATAACTGGTCATAACATAGGTGTAACTTTTGGTGTATTGCTTTGCGCTAATTGTTGGATTAATGTAAACAGTTAGAATCTGGAGCTAAATCCAGAATTTAAAATGCCAGCAAGTAACATAATGAACTTGCAAAGTTCGTTTTCCCTCAAGTTGAGAATAGTGAGAAATCCAGGGTATTTGCACAGTTGATGTCTAGACATTTTTCTGTGTGAAGAAAAACAATCCCCTGCGCTTTCAAGGGAAACCATCACTCCAAGACCAGCGATTAATCCAGGCTTCTTTCATACAGGTTTGGTTTCAGAACTGCCGAGCTCGTCAAAAGAAGCACATTAACCCAAATCCTGCCCAGTCAACAATGATGACATCACTTGCTCCTGGTCAGCTGTCTCCACCGTTGATGGATGATCTCCAGTATACCACCTATATTTCTCCAGATGCACCTCTCCTCACCACACTGACCTATATGGATGGTAAGCAGTGTTGTGAGGGTTACCTTTAAAATGTATTCCACTACAGATGACAGAATAAATGCCCCAAAATGTATTTTGTAATGTATTCTGTTACGTTACTCAATGAGAGTAACATATTCTCAATACTTTGGATTACTTAATATATTCTCATGCTTTTTACAACTACATGAATGTACTATTGCTGTGTGATTTATTACTTTTACTGCCATACCAATACCAACTAGATTTTAAATCTTAATATAAAATGAGTAACAGTGGGTTGACATTAGGTAAGGCTGCACTTTTTGCAGCGATCTCGTATAGAAAACTATTCCACACTTGTAAAACAGGTTCGCGGCTCTGAGCTGTAAAGGCGTAAAACCGTAAAGGGAACTCTGGCTAATATGTCGGGTTCGTGTCGGGCTCGTAGCTGAAAACTAGCTTTACTTTGGTTGAAAGGCTGCTCCAACGGAACTTATTGTTTCGGAGGAAAACACGAACACAGTGTACAGTTGAGTCTTAATAGCTTACTTACAACTGGGCTCGTCAGGCACTCTGCTTGGCTGCAGTGGTTATTATTATATTTACATGCTTCCAGCTCCGCTTTCTGCTCCGTGACAGCTCGTACTTTTTCCTTTTTCTCCCTCCCTCGCTCACAGACACATAACGGGTATGGCAGTCCATTCTCCCTGCAGCACGGACTACACTGCCCATGAGGCTAAATTCTTTAAGGAGATGCCTGTAACACGCTGCCTAATGCTTTCATATTAAATCATTTTTGTGAATAATTTTTAAAAAAAATATTTCTTCTCGTCATTATGTGGTCCGCAAGTAGAGGTGACATGAGCCGCGAGATTGAGACACGGACATTAGAGCTTCTTCGCGTTTTGTTTGGGTGTCCACCGGCATGGAAAACTAAAAATAATCCGATCACTTTTTTCAAGTAACGAGTAAAGTAACAGGTTTGCTATTGCAAAAACGGTAATTAGATTACCGTTACTTTCCCGTAGGAACGCTGCGTTACTAAAACTGTGATTTTTTTTTTTAAATTT